CCCCCCCAGAGTTGATAAGCTCTGTCATTTGTGTTAGGAGCCTGCCTTTTTTGGAGAGGTAGCATCTTACCATGTAGCTCTGGCTGGCCTGGACCTCTGAGATGTGCCTGCCTTTCCTTCCCTGGTGCTGGGATGACTGCACCCCGCTCCGCCTGCAAGCAGCTTTCTGAATGAGACCCAGGCTCCCACCTTCTGTCCAGATACACACCTTCCCTTTCTCCTGTGTTTTTTGGGGACAAAATGTCTTGTACTGGAAATCCACATCTGCCAATGCCTCATTGGACCTGTCATTGTCTCTTGACAGAAAATGATAATTTTGTGTGTATTTTTGTTTTTTGAGACAGAATCTTGATATGTAGCGCCACCCCTGGCTTTGAACTTAGCACATAGCTAAAGTAAGCTCACAGTCCTGCCTCTGCCTCCTGTGTGCTGGGAATACAGGCGTGTACCACTGGGACTGCACTTGCATTTTTGTTGTTTTCTGAGAGGAGAGTCTCCCTGTAGCCCAGGCTGGCCTGGAACTCACTATGTAGTTCAGACTAACCTCAAATTTGTGGTGGCCTTCTCTGTCTTCCAAATACTGAGATTATAGTTACCAGACATCATGTTCTGTTACATTTGCTTTTGATGTCCACAGTAGTGTCTGTCCAGAGATAATGGGCACAGGTAGAGGGTTGGGGAGAGGGAGTGGAGTCAGTGTTAAAAAGATTTAAGAAGGGACTCAAGGGCTAGAGAGATGGCTCAGCGGTTAAGGACACTGGTTGTTCTTGCAGAAGACCCGGGTTCGAATCCCAGCACCCACGTGGCAGCTAACAACTGTCTGTAACTCCAGTCCCAGGATACGACAGCCTCTTCTGACCTCTGCGAGCATTGCATGACATGGGTGCACTTACCTACATGCAGGCAATACACGCATACACATAAAATAAAAATTACAAATAAAATTGAAAAAAAAAAAAAAGAAGGGACTTGAGATGGCTTAGTGGTTAAGAGCACTGACTGCTCTTACAGAGAACTTGGGTTTGGTTCCCAGCACCCACATGGCAGTCAAGAACTGTCTTTAACGCCAGTTCCGGGAGATCCGACGTCCTCTTCTGACCTCCTCAGGCATTGCATGACACGGGCGCACATACCTACATGTAGGCAATGCAGACATACACATAAAATAAAAATACTTAAAAACTTAAGAAAAAAGTTGCTGAAGGCTAATATCATTTTTACTGATCTAGTCTTAATTCTGTTTGTAAATTCCACACTTCACTATGCATTGTGACTTTTATTTTTAATATATCGTACTGAAACTGGTGGCCGTGGGTAATGTACCAGTCAGGAGTTGTTATTTTAACCAAACTTTATTCTATAATGTAATGATGGAAACTGGAAATGCGGAGCAAAGTTCTTCTCTTTGGCTGTTGATGGCGGAAGTTGTGGAGTGAGAGGCCGTGCTGAAGTGAGACATGAGGAGGTGTGTGCACTCCAGGCGGAGTGCAGAGCCATTGTTGCCTCACCTTAGACGCTGTGGGAATTTGGACATAGTATTTAACTCTTGGTGCCTCAATTTTCTTACCTATAAACTGGGAATAATATTACTTATGTCCTTAGTTACTGTAAAAGATGAAACTTATTAATATAGAAACACAGTTTGAATATCCCTAACCTCAAATGCTTTGGACCAGAAATATTTCTCTAGATAATTTTGACTTTGGAATATTTGCACATACATGACGATGTATCTTTGGGATGAGATCCAGGTCTGAATACAAATCCACAAGTGCTTGGTGTGTACCTGAAGCACAGTCTGACAGCAATTTTTGAGACAGGGTCTCCCCATAGCCCAGCTGGCCTGGAACTCACTATGTACACCAGGCTGGCCTTGAACTCACAGACATCCACCTGCCTCTGCTGGGACTAAAGGCATGCACCACCACGCCTGGCTTCTGACAGCACTTCATAAAATCCTATCACATGAAATCAGGTATGGTGTTTTCTCTACTGATGGGCATGAAAGACAGATAGGCAGATCCTTGTGGACTCCTTGGCCAGTCAGTCTAGTAGAAACAGTGAGTTTTAGGTGTAGTAAGAGAAACTCTCAAAAACTAGGCACAAGACGTTTTGGCATCAACCTCTGGCCTCCACATGGCATAGGCAAGCACACCACACATATATGTACATACATACATCTACCACACTCAATTTTAAAAATCAAAATAGTTATAGTTTTAATAATTTAAAACTCACGCTAGCTCGTTGCACTGGTGCACCTTGCAATTGCAGCTGCTTAGAAGGCCAAGGCAAGAGAATGGCTTGAGTCAGGGCTTGATGCTTGTGGGAACAGAGCAGCCAGACCCCGGCTCTACTTTGGCTTTCAGGTCCTGTTTCCATTGGCATGTTGGGTAGTGCTCCTTGCATTGTATGACAGTAGCATGGGACTGGGACTGAGCACATACTTGGCCACTAATACCCCTCCTTCATTTAAGACAGACAGTACTAGAATAACCAGGTAAACTCCTCTTGAACCTACATGGAACCTTAGAATTCTTCCCAACTCTTAGGCTTTCATTGCTGTAACAAAATGCTGAACAAAGCCAAGTTAGAAAAGGCAGGCTTAGTGTTGTTCATGGTTTCAAGTTGGAAAGCCTGGTATTTGGCTCCATTTTGGGCTGTGGTGAGAAGAGCATCGTGACTGGGATCACAAGGTGAGCAGAGTGACTCACCTTTTGGTGGTCAAGAACCAGGCAGGCAAGGGATCTGGGGCCTCATGTTCCCATGTCTCAGTGGCATGTTCAGCCGGAGACCGCATTTGCGATGCAGGACCTTTGAGAGGTATGTAAGATCCAAACCATGTTACCAGTTCAGCAGGGTGCTGCCCATGTGTTCTTCTTGACAGACG